AGAAAAGGGTTCCATGAGTGGAACAAGACAATGGAATACTTTTAGGAACATAGTGATAATCATAGAGGGATTAAGAGTAAAAAATCTATGGAGGGATTCAAGAGAAGAAAGAGAATGTCAAGGGATCCATGAGGGATCGAGATGAGAAGTATGAGAAGACATGCTAAGAGTTAGAGAAATGAGAAGAACAGAGTAATAGAAAGAAAAGAGCATGTATATAGGATAGAGAAGAGTAGAGAAAGATGATATGAGATAGCGATAAACTGTGTGTAGAGTGTATATGAGCTTGAGAAGAGGCTATGAAAGATAGAAGAGATGGATTAGTGAAAATAATAGTTGTCTATGCTAATAGAGATCAAGAGTAGGAAATAAAATATGAGAATGAAAGATTAGAATGCTAAGGATTGAGAAGAAATTGAAGAAAAGATGTAGATGAGATGAGAAAGAAAACAAAAGTAGAGATAAGAATATGTTTGAAAAGAAAAGAAGATACAAATAAGATGAACATAAAGAGAATAGAAAGATGCATGAAGAAAAATAGAACATAAAGATAGAGAAAGAATTTAAGAAGAGTAAATGAACTTGAAAACAAATAATTAACTAATACTTTCAGAAATTGCAAAACAACTCCATCAACTTCTATACTTTGACATTTGCTCTATTTTATTAAATCTCATTTCTTTTTAATTTAAATATTAATGAAACCTTTAAAATATTATATTACCACATTTAAACCATAATCATTATTCAATTTGTGACATTTTTATTCACTTTAAATATCGAAACTCCTAGCCTCAACTTGCGGGTGTCACATATTATGTAGATAGGCATTTAGAGTTAGACAATGTTTCTCCGAAATAAGATAACATACACCAAGATCTAAATAAGCATACAAAACGTAAACACTAACGCCTTGGTTGGCGCGCTATGTGAAAAGTTAGTTTTAGTTTATAATTTAACTTATTAATAAATTATCTCAAGCTAGCTTAACAAAAAAAAGTAGCTTATAAACTACATTATAACCTACAATATATTTATAGTCTTACCTGATATTAAATTACAATAAGTTAAGTTATAACTTATAAGCTAGCATATTTTAATTTAGCGTTTGGTAAAACTACAAAAATAAATTATCTGTTTTTTTACATGCTATATTATTGATAAGGTAGCTTTATTAATTAATTAATTAATTAATTGATTGATTTATTGATAACGTAGCTAATAAGCTAAAATCTAACTTTTTCAAATGTCTACCAATGGAGGACCTTAGGATTCATGTGTGTAGTTTACTTATTTAGATATTGTTGTATATTATGTACTTTCATGAATACAATACATACAAGAGATTTCGTTTAATCTAATTTCTTCGACTTTAATATATATATATATATATATATATATATATATATATATATATATATAGAGAGAGAGAGAGAGATGAATGATCATTTGAGAACCTATAGTTTCCCGAGAACCCGAGAACTAAAAGTGGAGCGTTAGATCAAAATAATAAAAGGTTAGGGTGCATTGTGGCAGGTTTGTAAATACTTGGGTAAAAAAAGGCACGGGGGCATCTAATTAAACTTAATTAAGGGAATTTCAGGGATAGCTCAAGTCAACATTTTATCACGTCAATCCCTACACTCCTCTCTCTCTCTCTCCCATTCGTCTTGCCTCTCTTTCCCCATCATCCCGCATCCGACTAACACTCTCTAATCTCTAGATCGCCATATTTGTAACAAATGCTCCGATCGTCGATAGTTGATCTGCAATCTGACTCTCCTTGACTATCACAACTCCCATCAGTTTCTTCTGGTTATCGGGCTTCATCCTAGCAGTCGATTTCTACATTCTGTTTCTTATTGTTAATGCAATTGATTTCTATAATCTTTTCCTGGCCGGTTTTTGCCAACGATCTACCATCGATTTCAGCAATCGATTTCTCTCTTTCCTTATTACCATCGTCGCATCACCTCCTGACAGTGCCTCCTCCTCACTCAAGTTCTTCCTTGACGTCTCCTTTCCTCTTTGAGATCTAAATTGACAATTGATCCAGCTTTCATCGTCTGGTATGTGATGTTTGATCAGTAATTTAGCTACAATTATGTTTGAATCGATCTTATTTTTCATTTGCTTATCTTATTGTTTAACGATCTCGATATTAGGAGCGTTAGGGTGTTGAATTTGCTATAGTTTTCTTTTCAATCTGTTTGGAATCATAGTTTGAATTTGAAAGAGGTTATCGATTTGTTGATACCGACTTGTTATCGGAGGCTTACAGATTGTTGCTATGGTCTATAATAATGTCTACTTTCTCTTTTTTCTTGTAAATCCTTCATCTTACTTCTGTTGTATAGTTTGTATCCATTGGTAGATCATATTCATTGGTAGGCGTTGGATTGTTGTTGTAGGTTTGTTTATATTATATGTACTGATGAAGTGTTTTTATTGGGAAGAGCATATCTGTAACTAGAGATGGGCTGATGAATGAGCTTCAGCATGAGGAAGTGCATGAAATTATGATAGATTCCTCTATTTCTCAATCCCAACATGTTGAATTGGAAAGAGAGTTGGCACCTTGGGTCCCTGATAATGATAATCCAGAATGCCCTGAATTGGATAATACCTTTGATCGTCATTGTAACAAGTTCAAAGTTCTTTCCTTCCAACAGTTTTTTGCATCTATAATCACATATTTATTAATTTATAATTATGTAATTCACGTTTTTATCGATGATGTTTTGTGAAACAGGGTATGATTGAAATATCTGCTTCTGGTCGTGCCTATATTGGAATAAAAAGAATGGGTGAGCTTGACGCAAAGCCATTCATAATTGCTGCTAAAAAGTGATCGCCTTTAAGTACAAATATGATAAAGTTGTTTTCTTCATTGGCTTTATGGACAGATGGAAGACCTTGACTTGACTGTGTTGTGGTATGTAATATGTTAATTTTAAGTGTCTATGGTTATACTCTCTATCCATTTCATTTGGTATGATCTAGTTAATTAGTTTCAATGATTGACTGATCTGCTTGTGAATTCTATGAGATACTGTGAAGAACTTAGATTTGTTAAAGTACTAACTCTTTTTAGATTGAATATGAATAACTCAAAATAACAAGTGTTTTTTCTGATGTGTTTGCAAGGGCAATGACGGAAGATTCACCTGGAATGGGTGTATTACCACAAGATGGAATGAATTTAAGCATGAACATTGCAAATCATGAACCTAAAAACTGGATACAGCAAATCATGCCTGTAAAGTAAACTTTTCCCTAATTTCAATATAAATTCACAAAATTACCTAGTTTCAATCATGCGATTCACATATAAATCACATGTAATTCATATATGAATTATATATAATTCACATGTAATTCACATATGAATTACATCTGATTCACATGTAATTGATTCACATGTAAATCACATATGAATTACATATGCTTCACATGTAAATCGCATGTCATTAACATATGAATTACATGTGCTTCACATGTAAATCGCATGTAATTCACATATGAATTACATGTGATTCACATGTAAATCACATGTAATTCACATGTGAATTACATGTGATTCACATGTAATTCACATATGAATTACATGTGATTCACATGTAAATCTCATGTAATTCACATGTGAATTACATGTGATTCACATGTAAATCGCTTGTAATTCATATGTAAATTACATGTGATTCACATGTAAATCACATGTAATTCACATATGCATTACATTTAATTCATATGTGAATCGTCTGTGATTCATATGTTAATCACATGTAAATCACATATGTATTTTTGTAAGTGTTTTTGCATCAATCAATTTTTTTTTAATTTTCGTGTAGATTTGGAAGAAATTGTAGTGAATATTGAAGAGGTGAAAATGATAAATTGAAGAAAATATGGAAATATTGACACGAAGACATGAACACGATTTGGAATTTTATAGCATTTTTTTGTTTTTTATGTTTTATTTTTGTATCGAATAAATACTTACTCTATTGTGTTAGAAATAGTAAATAAAATGAGTTTTCTTATGATTCCTTACAAATATTATAGTATATGAAATATGCATATATGTATTTGTAAAAATATTCATTCGTATATGTACCTAAAATGTTGATTTTTTGGTTAAAAAATTATACTATTTTTAAAATATTCCAGTTTTTTTTTTAAATTTTATTGATTTTTAAATGCTTTTAAAAAAATTGCAGTTTTTTTAAAAAAATATATATATTTTTTCCAATTTTTTTTTTAAAATTCATGTTTTCCGTAAAAATTTAAAAATCTGCACTTTTTTAAAAAATTTAAAAATATATATATTTTTTCCAATTTTTTTAAAAAAATTCATGTTTTCCGTAAAAATTAAAAAATCTGCACTTTTAAAAAAAATCAAAAAATACTCTTTTTAAAAAATCCGAAAATTTGATTTATAATGTAAACTTTTAGACATTAATATTAATATTTCTAATAACACAAAAAATTAAAAATTAAATGAGACGATCATGCCCTTAATGAACTAATTTTGATCTAACGCTCCACTTTTAATTTTCGGGAAACTATGAGTTCTCAACCGATATCACCTATATATATATATATATATATATATATATATATATATATATATATATATATATATATATATATATATATATAATATATATATATATATATATATATGACACATATAACAAAAAAAAAACACGGACACACACGATCTATTCCGTGGACACATTTGGAATCACAACAAAGAACTGTTACTTTTTTGGTCTATTTTGGCACTGATTATTTGTTGAGTAAGTAGTAGATTCACTAGGGCATGGAGGTGAACGTGATGCCATATTATGCTTCCATTCATCAGAAGCATCAACTCTCCCCGGTAGAACAGAAACCCACCGCTCCTAACACTTCCGAGATCGAGATCACCAAATGGTTCATGGAGACATTGTCAAAACTCAAAAGGTTTTTTGTTTGCCTCTGAAGCCTAAACTTTCCTAGTTTTTGCTTGCAGCATTCATATCCAAGACTCGTGGTTTTGGTGCATCTGTTGATGAAAACATGAACCCGCTAGTGAAATCCACATATGGAAGTGGAAAATTAGTAGACTGTTTACAAGTGGTTGGGTTCGTAGGTCGGTATAATAGTGTTTCAAGAACAGAAAAATCATCACTGGATGCTGGTTTAAGATGGTCAGTGTCAGTCATACAAGAAATGTTATCGGGACTGAACTGGTGCGAACGTGAGAAAAAAGCAGATGTTCTATCTTCGTTTAATGAAGATGCGCAAGAATGTGAAATCACTCGTTGTGCCATTGAATTCATCTTCTTGAATATCTTACATATCGCCCATGAATCCTGAAAAAAAAAATCGATATAACCAATTACCGGGTAAGAAGATTAAATCGCAGTTATTTTGCACGGCAACATTCTAGAAATTCTATAGGTTTATTTTCAGAATTCACCGAAACTGAAGAAATAATAATTTTTGTCACAGTTATTAACATGCAAAACAATCACTTGTAAATATATATAATTAATAATTTATTTCGTACTTATAATTATATAAAAGCTTCGAATTGGAACTAGGTAAAGATCATATGAGTAAAAGATGCAGATTCATTAGCTTACATTGGGAGGAAGGTTTTTATCGTGAATCTTTTTATTTGGTTCAGATTCAACGACTGAAGGAAGTCGATACTCATGCATCATCCAATCTGTTTTGATACCTTTTGCAGCTCGACCCCGATAGAACACCAACGACTTCTTTAAACCTATGCACTTGGCACCAGTGGACGAGTAAATTGGTCGGTCTGTGCCTGTAGCTTTCCAAAAACCGGCTCCTGTAACACGATTTGGTCGTGAACTGTTCTTGTATTTTCGATCCCTTGGACAGTAAAAATACCACTCTTTTTCACCGGATGGGGCCAAATCTATATAAAATATACATGGGTTTAAGCATTTGATCATAATAACTAAAGCCTAAAACTGTTCATTTACTTACTTGGAAGATCCCACGGATCGTACTTATATATATCGACTTGTTTAATAAGCTCAATTGGAAGAATGAGATGCTGAATCTTCCTCTTTAAATAAAATCCAATAAGTTCTTCGTCTGTTGGATGAAATCTGAAACCTGGTAATATGACTTCATGGTCTATTTTATCAACTTCGGTACTCTTGTGATCCTCCATAAAAGTTACTGAAGCAAGTTTCGAGCTTCGAATTCACGTGTGTTGCAGGACTCTTTATAGCCAAAACGGTTCCTGAAAAGGAGTTCGTTTCTTGTTTTGGGTTTGTCTTTCTAAAAAATTTGTAAAGATAGAAGATTAGGGTTTCAACAGGAAGTAAGAACACAAGTTTATAATGGCGAGTTACAGGCGCTTGTATACCGAAAAGTGTTTCGGGTAAACAGAAATTAATAAAACAAGTGTATAAGGACTTGTAGGTTTTGGTTTACCCAAAACGGTTCTGAAAAGGGGGAATTGCAAGTTTTTACATGCCCAAAAATTGTTCCTGAAAAGGGGTCTGCCTCCGATCTTTCTGGGTTAGTTTTCGATGAACTTACACAGAAGAAAGCTTAGGGTTTTGCATTCTTGAAGAAGAAGTAATTAAGAACCCAAGTCAAGATCTTGGACTTCTAAATGAGCGAAGTTTCAATCTTTATGAACACTATTTTGGTTTGTTTAAATGTCGATTTATAATCTCAAGAGACTGGTAAGTTAGATTTACTTGTTTATATTATCAAAATATTAAAGTTTTTTATAGTTTGCTTGACCCAATCAAACAAAAAATGATAACGACAAGAAGATTATTTTGAATTGTGTTTTGAACACATCATAGAAGACTCCTAATTTATCTAAACATGCCACTTTGCCTTCAACAGTTTCTCTGAACTTGAGGTTTGGTGATCTACATTTTTTAATGAGTTTTTAACCAAAACATTGTATTTTAAATAAATATTTATCGAATACTTGTGTTTTGAAAATTAATTACAGTTTAATTGTAGTTTTATTAATAAAATAAGCTAGACCGCATTGGTTTCTTAATTCTTATATATGCTTTTAAGTTTTAATTAACCCTAGCTCACGCTCGTCTTCTTCCTTTCTCAACTTCTCCTCAGTCGCCGTTAGACAACCTCGCCTTCTGCTTTCCGTTTACCTCTCTCTCGAGCATTTCTCTTTTTTGTCTCTTCATATGTGTCATCTTTCTCTAAGTCATGATATATTGCAATCAATATTAATAGTTTGAAGGAATAACCACGATCTGACAGATTCATTGTAACAACCCGAAATTTTGTGATAGCTTAATTGAAAGTAAGATGGTGTATAAGGGTAAATGGTCAAAGTTATTTGTTGTGTGAAAAGTTTGTGTTAAAAGATATAATGTGGTATCATATAAGTTAATTACAAGTGGTAATGTTTTGTATACCCTAGAATGAAAAAATATATGAAACTCATATATATATATATATATATATATATATATAATATATATATATATATATATAAAAGGGTATCTTGGTCCAATAGACGAGTTATGCGAAAATGTTGAGTAATGTTGGTCAATGTTTAGTTGTATATCAACATTATGTTATGAAAACATTGGCAATATGTAGTTTTATGAGATTTATAAACATGCACATTGATACGGACTAAATAATGGGAATAGAGCATCCTTAAAAGGAAAAGAAAAAGAAAACTGCAGGAACCAAGATGCGTTAGGATGAGGTTGTGGCGCATTTTCGGTGACAGTAATTGGGTCTTATTTTTTACGTACATCGAAAGCAATGTACTTTGGCCGCGGCGCGACCTGAAGGTTTGGCTCGGACACGAATTCAAAAGTAGAATGTTATACCAATTCCTTGAGCACAATGCAGTTTCACATGTCTTAAAACATATATTAATCTGTTAAAGTCCATTTTCACGAACACAACACCCCCAATTCTGCTCTAAAGCTTTGTATTGAAGATTTCGAAGATAAGAAGAAGTCTTGATGCGATAGGAACACAAGAGTGCAAGAATTAACATTTAACTACATCAAAAGATAATATCTTCTTCCTTAATTAACCTTATGAACTATAGTGGTGGGATTAGGGTTCGAACGGGAAGTTGGATTTTCTAGCTAGATAACTTATCTATGATGTTATGGTAAGTGTTTAGAAGCTAATTATAAGCTTTGTATGATGATTTAATGGTTCAATACATACATTTATTGTTAGGTTTCTAACCCTAATTAATGATGTTATGGTAAGTGTTTAGAAGCTAATTATAAGCTTTGTATGATGATTTAACTAGTGAAACTGAGTTGAGAATTTGATGAATTAAACCATGAAGGAGGTAAATCCATTGATTTAATCCATTTCATGACAAACTTGTTGAGATATTGTGTTGATCAAAGTATAAGATAGTAATTGGAAATGTTATTAAGCTCATCAAAGAAGGTAATTGAAGATAACTTAAAGCTAGTTTCCAATTAACTTTATAGGTGAGTTAAAATTTTATAATGAAGCATGAATACACGGACAAATATTAGTGAATTATATGCCTTATAAGAGTGTTCTTACACTTAGTATTTATGTGAAATGTGGAATAACTGAATATTATGAAAAGTAATATGATTGGCATACATGTGTCATAGTAATTTAAAATATTGAGTAAATCTTGAAAGTGTAAAGAAAATGTTGCCGACTTGCCCGAGGGGTCTGCGTGGAGACCATGATCCATTGCCTAGGGGTTCGCATGGGAACCAGTGTATCAATTTGTCATAAAAAATATGGTCCCAAAAATTTTCAATTTAAATAACAGATAAAATAGTAATTTACCATATCATCCAAACATTTGAAATAAACCAGTGTATCAATTTGTTATAAATCAGAGTAAAACATCACAAAAAAAATCCCGATGGTGTGTGCGATGCAGTTATCCTGAGCTCTTCCCCTTGGAACCAGAAGTACCTGAAACATAAATTGAAAACCGTAAGCACAAAGCTAAGTGAGTTCCCCCAAAATACCACATACCAATCATACAATAACATATAGTGGGCCCCACCCGTCATTGGGCCCCGCCCGGCTTCCGACCCCGCCCAGCATCGGGCCCCACCCGGCATCGATCTGAGCTCGGTAAAACGAGCCTCGTCGAACATACAATAACATATATCAAAATAAACACATATATATTCAATAATCATAGAGATACATAGCATAAAGATATTCATCAGGCCCCGCCCGACATCAGAACTAAACCCGGAAAACATATAGACACATCACATGCAAGAGTCACGGAGACGACTAGCATACTAACAACATAATATAAACATGGGCCGGCCTTGGTGCCTTCGACCCGCTAAAATCGGTAAGAAAACTCACCTCAAATGCTAAATGATAACTGGATAAATCCCGGCCCCGGAAATCAGCTCTACTCAACCCCTAAACAGAAACAATCCCTTAGATACGGATCAATATTTCAAAACGCCGTAAAGGTCAAAATTAGTCAAAGTCAAAGTCAAAGTCAACGTTCTGAGTTGACTCAACTCGTCGAGTTATTCTTCAACTCGCTGAGTTTCCTCATTAATCAATAGAATCGCGAAAATCCGGTCCAGCTCACCGAGGTCACCCATAAACTCGCCGAGTTTCCCCTTTAGCCAGCAGAATCGGGAAAAGTCGATCAAACTCGCCGAGTTCTTCAGGAGACACACCTCTTAATCCATTAAGTCACCATTCTCGAACTAAAAGGTCCACCACTCACATATGGACTAAAATATTGACTAGAAGGGTAAAGTTTCCAACTTTACCCTTAAGAACCATCCTAATGGGTATAGAACGCAAACCCTAAGCTTAAAAGGTTAAGGATTAAATAATAAGCAGTTATTTACTAAGACAAAGCTCCAAAAAAACAGATATGGTGCTTAAAAGCTGCAAACACACGTAAAGTTTCCAACTTCACTCTCAAGTATGCTTGGAAGATACTTATATGTTCAAAAGAAGGCATAAGATGGACTTAATGCATGCATGGAGCCCTTAAGGCGATAAAGTTGGCACTTTTATGCCAAAAGAGCTCAAGAGGACCATGGATCTGGAAGAATAGCACTTGGGACGACCTTCAACCCCACCAATCACCAAAACATGGCTAAAAGCCTCAAAACTAACCCACAAAGAGATCTAATCAAATATTGAGCAAGGTTAGAACTTTAAACCAAAAATATGTTGGAAATGAAGCAAAGAATCAAGATCTTGAAGGCTCCAAATTGAATTAACACCTTGCACCAAGCTTCTCTTTCTTCCAATGGCTTCAAACACACCAAAATACACTCTCAAAGGGCTCACAACACTCAAAAAGGCTTTAGGGTTTGAAGATTAGGGTTAGGGACTTTGGAGGCTGGAAATGAGGCCAACACCTGGGACTTAAGGTGTTTAAATAGGGTGCAAAGCCCTAAAATTAGGTTTTCCTCCAGAGCGGTCAACTCGCCGAGTTGAGACTCCTCAAATCGTCGAGTTGTTTCATGAAATGTCGCGGCCAAAACAACTTCAAAATGTTGAGTTGGGGCTTCCAACTCGACGAGTTCTTCAGGAAAAATGCAATACTTTGAATTAAAATCATACCAAAAATAAGGCGTTACAATTCTCCCCCACTTGAATCAGATTTCGTCTTCGAAGTTCGCCGTCTCGAACAATCCTGGATAATGCTCCCTCATTTCCTCATCGGGCTCCCAAGTCCACTCCGACCCCTTGCGGTGCAACCACTACACCTTCACAACCTCCACCACCTTTTTCCTTAAGGTTTTTTTTCTTCCGATCTAATATTTCCACTGGCTTCTCAACATAATTCAGGCGGTCATCCACCTGAATATCCTCCAAGGGTACAACTGCAGAATCATCCATCAAACACTTTCGCAGCTGAGAGACATGGAATGTGCTATGAATCTGGCTGAGCTCGGCTGGAAGATCTAAAGGATATGCAACCTGGCCCACCTGAGCCAAAACCCTGAAGGGACTGATATACCTGGGGCCCAGCTTGCCTCACTTCCTAAACCAGATGACACCTTTCCAAGGTGACACCTTCAGGGAATCTCCCACCGGGAACTCCAAATCTGACTGGCGCTTGTTGGTATAGCTCTTCTGCCGACTCTGAGCTGTCTGAAGCCTGCTCCGAACCTGTTGAATCATCTCAGTTGTCTTGAGTATCACCTCGGTACT